TCTATCAGAAGGCGAGTAATATTTCTCATTCCCGGTAAATAAATACACCTCGACCCCCAATCCTCATCACTGCTGCGGCGGAAATCCCATGTGATGCGGCCCATTGTAATGAAATGATCCCAGCCGTTTGATTTCTTATAGTACTCCTGATCGGAAAGCCACTTTAGAATCATACGGCAGTGATGATCCCGATCCTCCGCGCTCGAAGCCGTCCATAGGAATTTCCCCACTGCGAGTCCAGCGTAAAACGGTACATAAAACGCCGTAGCAGATTCCGGCTCCTTGACACGGCATTTATGCTTCATTATCCGATTATGGAAAATGATTTCCGTTACGAATTGGTCCGTCCAATACCACGACGCCACGAGATTCTCCGGTATCACTCCGGCGAGAGAATCAGCTCTCTGCCCGAACCCGCCGTTCACCATCGCGCTGCAACTTGAACTCCACGGGTTCAGACTGTCGCAGTTTTTGACAATGTCTTGGTTAAATGCCGTCGGCAGGTCGTAGACGAAGATCCGGCCGTTTTTGCAGTGATCGACGTCGGTAGAGGCGGGAGAGACGGCAGCGGAGGGGAAGCGATAAAGGCGGTTGGCGGCAGAGGAGATTACCGGCGGGAGAGGAAGGGGAAAAGAAAGGAAGCGAATAATGAAGATGAGGAGGATCTGGAGGCAGAGGATTGTGAGGAGAAGCCATAGACGAGATTGCTGATGATGAAATTGCTGTAACAACGAGTTGAACGAGTTCTTTCTGCCGAACAACTCGTAGGATTTCAATTTCCTCGGGTGGTGCTCCGGCGAGGAGTTGCCGGAAAGAGGAAGCATTAGAATAAAATAAATCAGACCTTCAATGGCGGCCTCCGGAAGAAGAATGGCGACTGTGAGCGCCGCCGTGGACCGTCACCGGCAGGGGAGATTTGGGTTTAGAGAGAGAGGGAAGAGAGTGTGAGGAGTTGTGTGAAGGAGGCGTAAATGAGGGGCTGAAATTTTATGAAGGGAAGGGAGAGGACACGTGTCGAGTAGTGTTACCGGCTGAGGGAGCAACCGACAGCGTAACAAGTTATTTGCGACCGACAACTGACGGTTTCTATTTTTCGTTCCCACAACGAGAACGTTGACGTAACAACGTGAGGATTTTTGGAAGCGGCGTGGGGGAATATCGGTAAAAAAGTAAATCTACCGTGATTTTGTCTTAAACCACTTAAGGTAAAAAAATGATTTTGTTTTAACCATTTAAGGTAAAAAATGAAGAAGAAAGTAAAAGGTAGTTACATTTATAAAGGAGATTTCAATTATATTGTTATTTATTTTAATAAATATTAAAAGGGAAAAAAGAGGTAATAAAATAAAATTAATTAGGAAAATACGTATCGAAAATAAAAAGAAACAGGTAAGAAACCTAGGAAAAAACGTTGAATGGGGGATGACGTAAGGGTGCCACGTGGATATCAGCAAAATTAAGAGGAAAAAAAAAAGAAAATATTATTATTAAGGAAGTGGGGCCGGGCGGACGGACGTCGTGTAGAATATTAAATGAAGTTAGTGGGTGAGGTGGTGTCCGGGGAGATAGCTGGAAGGAAGAGCGGTGGTTCTGTTCCATCAAACTGGTTTTGTGGCTTTGCTTATGGATTTTCAATTTTAATTTCTAATTAAATTGGTCCCAATAAAAATAATTATAATATATATATATATATATATAATTTATGGTCAAAATTGGGAAACTCATCACCGACAGATTCGGTATTTTTTAAAAAAAAAATTAATGAAAAAATTAATTTTCCTTCCACTTTACTTCTTTGTCACACTGTGTGTCTGAAAAGGCATGTCATTGTAATTTTATTTATTTATTTTAGTGTATGTAAATAATAATAATAATAATTATTATTATTATTATTATTTGTTGTTATTATTTTAAACATAATAATTATTATTATTTTGTTGAATAATAATTATTGAATTGTGCTTATTCACGTTATTTATTTAAAATTTTGTTTTTAATAAAAGAAAAATGTATTTTCAGATATTTAATTAAAATTTGCTATTTACTTTAGATAAATTAACTTTTAAATTGTAAAAAAAAAAAAAATCATTTTAAAGAGTTATAGAAGAATATATAATAAAAAAAATAATTATTATGAAATTAAATAAAGATAAATTAAATATATGTATATATACCCAAACAAAAATGTAAATGTTATAATTGGAGTAAATTCAAATTCGTGAGATTTAACTCAAGAACCAAAAAATTTTGATGGAACGTTTTATTGGTGGTAGAACTTACGCAAATGAGAGCAATTCTAAGAATAAAATGACTAAAAACGACTTAAGAGAATTGAAATATAGCAAAAAAATCGAATCTTTATGGGACGGAGGGACTTGTATGCAAAATTTGAAGGGGGATAAGGACTAAATTGATAATCATATAAAGATGAGGGATGGGAATGCAAATAAAAGTAGAATGATTTGACAGTAATCCAATTGAAACTCAAGAACAGAGAAGAACTTGGAAGAAAAAACATGAAAGATTGTCTCTATTGCTTCTTTAAGAGCAAAGGGCCGACATTATCTCCAGTGGCCTTGTTGTGCTTAACATGGCTTCCATCACACAGAGGAAATGTGGCTGACCTCCAACATCTGCAACAAAACTTGTTTATTTCAGCTTAGTCCCTACTCTGTTCATAATTTTCAATTTAGTCCCTTAACTTTGAAGGTTTTTCTCCATAGTCCTTTAACAATAATGGGTAACAATTAATGGGTACCTGCAATAGGGTGTGAGGGGCTTGGCAAGGTCGGCGACAACCACGGAGTCCACTACTTTGTCCTCGCTCTTCCTGATTGCTGGGTTTATGGCTTCGCCGCCTTCGGCTCTGACCACCACCATGCGCCGCCGCGGCATTCCGCCGACGGTGAAGTTACCGTGAGGAGGACGGGTTGTTGGTAAGGCGGAAGTGGCAGCAAGCGAGGCCATTGGAGCAGAGGAAGGGTGGTGATGCGAGTGAAGGAAATGTGGTAATGGATGATGAACGTGTGGAGGGCACGGTTTAAAGGTGCCTTAAACCGGCCTAATCGGTGGATCTCCATTTGACACGTCCTTCTTCCCTACCACAAAATTATAATCCAAACCCATCAAATTAATCGTAAATAAAAACGTATTTTTTTAAAAAAATTAACAATAATTTAACAAAATTTTCATGGGAGAATCCGACCCGCGACCTAAGGATGACTATTTGAGATTTTTCAACTACAGTCCTCCGCTCTACCATCTGAGCTAAGGTTGGTCATTGATCTGTTTATTTACATAACATTAAGGAGCCACAAAGAATTAGGAAGTAATACTTTTTTGTTGCAACGGGTGATACATGCATTCTAATTAAATTACTCTTGGGTTGCTAGATCTGAAACACTTTGTTACTTAGGAAATTAATCGTACATGTGATGGACTTCCTACTTTTGATTTTTTTTATTTTTATTTAGAAAAATGTTATGTGACTCAAACCGTACCAAAGAACTGGAGTTCAATTTGCGTGCTCAAAATCCTACATGACCTAACCCACGACACGCATCCCGCGACTGTAGCTTTGATAGGCGTGTGGTAAGTGTGCGAAGAGAATTTCTTTTGTGCTTGAATAGTGCATGGTTTATCCTTAATCATGAAAGCGATGAATGATGACTAAATATCCAAGTGGTTGTAGTTCAGTGTTAAGAATTTCACGTCGTGGCCGTGGAGACCCAAGCTCAAATCTCCAGCAACCACATTTACGTTTTTTTAGCTACAAACTATTGAAGCATATTAACATAACTCAAAACCATGAGGTCGAACATACCGGTGAAGCAAATTAGCTAACGACATAAAACTGAAAGTTCGGTTAAATAACTTTCAAGTTTGTTGTAAAACAATTTGAAGCAGAAGAACTTCTAAACATAAAAATACGAACTTAAGCGAAGAAAAACATATTAACCCTAAAATAAAAGGGTATTTTAGGAAAAATAAATTAGGCTCAGCACGGGGAGAAAGGGGAATGGAATGAATCATTGTCTTTCAATGAATATGGCAGGCTTGTTATGACCATTTCGTCCTCCTTCCTTTTAATTATTTTATCTAATTTCTTTTTCTTTCTATATATATATATATATATTCATCATTTAATTTAATTAAAAATGGTGGGTGAAGGTGGAGCTTCAACACTTTAGCTTAGGGAGTTTGTAGTGATGGGAAGGCAGCCAGCCTTGCTGTGCCAAACTTGGTGTCATGCTGAAAGACAACAAGCTTGTCATCTTCATCATCCACCTATGGCCATTGCTGCTGGAGGGCTCTCCCTAAGCTCACCGACCTCCTCCGTCGCTGCGGTAAGAGCCGTTGCCTCCGCTGGACCAACTACCTCTGTCCCAACTTGAAGCACGGCCTCTTTGATGAAGCAGAAGAGCAATGCTCGCCTTGGCAACAGGTACTATAGCTAGAAGGCTCGAAGGCTCAACACCAAATTTTACGCTCCCAACTTTTTAGAACTTGAAAAAACTTTGATATAAACTTTAATATAAGACGAAGTAGAGACAATTGAAAGTTTATTGGGGGATGAAATTTTACATTCTAACCTTTTAGAATTTAAAGGACAAATTCGAAAAAAACTTTAGTTTAAGACGAAGTAGAGGCATTGTCTCTCTTCTTCCTTTTCTGCTTTGACCCGACACGTTCATTTTTGTTGATTTCTGATAGTCAAAGACTGTAGCGACCTTACCCAGAAGAACAGATAACGAAATCAAGAACCACTGGAACAAGAAGCTCATCAAGATGGGAATAGATCCGGTCACAACCAAGTCTCTGCAGAAGCAAGAAACAGAAAGTTGCAACCAAGGAAGCTGCACTGATTCCTCAGCCGCCATATCTCCATTAACAGAAGCTAATTATTGCACTGAAAAAGATGAGCCATTAACAAACAACATACGTAGATGGAGGCTCTTAAAGATGATTCCAACATGGGGCAGCAAAATCTACGGTGATATTGGCTCATACAGCGATTACCAACAGCCCCATTGAATAAAAAAAATCCCTCAAACAGCACACTGGAAAATGTATGATCTTTAAAGACTTCAGGATTCAGAAAACTGAGCACAGAAATTTCCAGGTACTGAGTTAAATTTATTACTTCAGATTGAAAATACATATCCTCAGTTTAAACTAGAAAATCTATTTACACAGGTCTGAAAATGAAATACTATGTACATCTTAAGAAATGACTACATAAATATGTGGGCTCCTGATAGTAATTATATAAGAGTTAAAAAGCCTAACAAGAGCTGCCCATGCAATAAAACAAAACGAGTAAGCTTTGAATCTTACCAGTTGTTGGGAAGCAAAAGATGATGAAGATGGAGCAGCCAAATGAGGAGTGTACGTAAATAGCTTCATCAAGGAAAGGATGGTCTGGTTATATCTGGCGAGTTTTGGCTGCTCTTCACCACCAAATCATAATTGATGGAAGCCAACTGTGATAAATTCTGCAAAGCAAAACAATGAAGTTGCTGCATCGTATTTTGATCTTTCTTTCAAGCCAGCACCAAAGTGACATTATTCATACAAATACGGTAACAGAAAATAAAATATATATACATAAATTATCATTCCAATATCTATATTCTTTTTTTCAACTTCTAATATGTATTGGTCTTTGTTCAAGTAGTACCTTTGCTTCTATAATCTTAAAAAAAAGTACCAATTTTGCTGCTTCAAAAGATAATTAACTTACGAAACTAAATAAATATGCAAAGATTAAGATTAAAAAAAAAAAAAAAGAAAAAACAAGAACATAAAAGTGGTAAAAGTATAAAATTAAAGCTCCAAATTTATCGACTTTATCAACTTTATCAACATGTAGTCAAATATTTGAAACATTAATTTATATATAAAAGCAGCTAAGCTCTGTTTCTTTGGGAATCCAATCAACAAAGAACCATAAAAGAAATGAAGCCTTCGTTCTAAATAATCATAAGACATCAACACCTTGAAAATATCTTCTATGACAATAAGAGAATTTAAAGGCCTGGCATGCCTTACCTTGAAAGAGAAATTGCTGAACGAGTACTTCACAGAAAGGGCTGGTGTACAGAAGTCAGCCAAACTACCACATTCGTCTCCCTGTTTCAATAACATCCAAGAAATCAAAGTTACTCAATCAGACTGAAACCTCCAGTCACATCATACAACAGACGGTTGAATTATACTGAACTAGATTCTATATGATGAAAATTTTCTACAATGAACATCTCCTTTTGTTTCAGCTGTTATAGATAAGGTAGTTCTCAGCTATGTTTACATTGAACCCAAGAGAACCGGTGAAGAGGGGGAGAAAATTCATGCCGCCATGAATAATGATAGACCAATGAAATTTGTTTCCCTTCTAAAAAATATAATACCACTATCTAATATGTGCATCTTTTGTTTCAATACAAGTATCATTAATCAAATTTGACATCCGTGCGTCCATGCAAATTTAATACAGATCCTTGGTTGCCGTCAAACAAATATGGGATTTCTTTAGTTAATGAATACCAGATAAAGGGTAACAGAAATGATTTAGTTTATTAAAAGCATATATTCAAGGCGAACTATTATAATGCAAGCTTACATCTTCATCTTGTAGGTTGCTAAATGAACTACTGCTGGTATCTGTCAAATCATGATCATCAAAGTCACTAGCACCATTAAAATCCTCGTTTTCTGGATTCCATATATACCGACTCATGAAATAACTTGTATCATGTGGCTCTGCTGATGGTATAAACATGGCCTGTATTAAAATATAAAAACTTCTTTTCAGATTCATAAATATATAATAAAAAATTATGTCAACAAATGCTTCCATGTACGATGATGAATACCTTCTGCCTTGCAAGTGTTTCCCAATTAATATCCTTGAAGAAAGGATGTTGCTTCACCTGACAGACGATAACAGTTCTTCTCTATCAATTCATTTCATAAATCATAATATTATGTAGCAAAAATACTGTTTTACAGGAATTAAATCATTACCTCTCTGGCTCCTGTAGCTCCCAGTCTTTGAACTGAATTTTCAGTCAGCAATCTGAAATTTAGTGTATTAGCGTTTATAGATAACCTAATCTCTACGCTATTATCATTCTTGAAATAGACAAATTAAATTTCTTTCATCAATAAAAGAAAATAGTAAAAAGATGTCAAATGTGAACGACCTTGTATAAAAAAACATGCTCCAAAAACTCGCTAAATTATCCTATGCCAAATCTGAAATTATTCAATTGAGTTGCATCCATCTCATTAGTTCATAGTACAGAATGTAACACTGAAATTAAATATATGTACGTACATACAGATAATATATATATATATATATATAAAAAGAGGATCAGATAAGATTGTGCCAGATTCACTGCCAATTAATCCTACTTTAACTTTGAGAAGGAACAAACCAGTTAATACGATACAACTTAGCTGCTATTTGTAATTTTAAATTACATTTTTAATCATTATTTCAGTACAAAAGGGGTTTACAATTATTACACTAATTAGTTTTGTTCTTTAAAAAATATATATTTTATCATGGTCCAATGTCGCAATATTAAGAATTGTCAAAGAGTACTACGATGTCATTATCTCATTCTACTTGTCCTTTCTGCATGTTAAATCCAAAATATCATATTCATACGTTATTTAACATTCTATATTTAGGTCATTGATGGAGTGCTTTTTTGCATCAATTTAATATGAGAACAAGGTTTTCATTGAGGATTCAAAGTCGAATATTCAGCTTCTCTTTTGCAGTTTAAATCTTCTCATTAGTATTTCTCATCTTGGATTTTTACAGCTATTTTCTTAATGATATTTGTGATAATTGGGAGGCTTTTTTTATAGGATCGATTCCTCTTTCTTTATAGTATTTTATCTTTCTTAATTTACACTTCGTAAGCATTGAATTCTTGTACTCTCCGTTAGCTTCTCAATCACTAATGAAAGTTTCGTTTCTAGTTTTTTTTTTTAAATAGAAGAAATAAATCAAACAATCATTAGATGCAGCAAAACTGAAAGTAAATTACGATAAGATGTTATATCCTAAAAGATTTCAAGGAATATTACTTGTCAATCAAATCCTGGGCTTCATAACTCATCTCGTCCGGTACCTTGGGCCATGGTATGTCTCTATTAATGATATTATCAAAAATTAGCTGCAATGGAATGATAACTCTTTTGTCAATCAAAATGTTGTGCAGTTATCGAGTAAAACCAACCAACAAAAGCTACAAAGCCAGTACAGAATTTTGAAGTCCTGATCACATGCTATTATTTCTAACAAGAAAACCTTTACCAAAAGAGAAAGGAATGCAAACACATCAAGGCCAAACCTATCCAACAAAGGGTGGCGTAGCAAAGTTAAATGAATTGGAATTACCTGATAATGAAATAACCAAAGACATGGTTGCAGACCTTAAAGAGAAGGTGGTACTCATGGGAGTATCAACAACCATATATCCTCCCAAAAGCAAGTGTTTGAATCATTCCCAACAAAACATTCTATGAAATTAGAGAAAAAGGGTCCACCTAAAAGACGATTTTTCAAGGGTTTCTAAACGTGCCTTTCAATCCCCCAACTGTGGTCCATTTGAAAGGTTATGGACCATACTTGCTCACCATAACCTTATGCCGCAGAGAATTTGACTTCAAAGAAAAACGCCACAACCATTTAGCTAGAATAGGCAGTAAGAAGTCTAAGATTGCCTATGCCTAACCCTCCAAGTCAACTGGTCTCGATGTCACCTCCCAACTAATCAAATGGGAACCTCCATCCTCCACAACACCCTCCTCCCAAAAAAAATCTCCAAAAGCTTCTCCTAACTTTTACTAACAGAAACAAGAATTCTAATCACAGAGAGGAAGTAGATCAGGATTCCACTTAAAACTGATTTATAAGAGTCAATCTACCTTATCTGAAGAAGAAAACCCTTTTCTAGATACAAGATGCTTTTAGACCTTATTCAAGGAGTTCCAAAATGAGGCCCGCTTGGGATAATAGCCAAGAGGGAGATCAAGATAAGAGGTGGGCAAATTACCTACATCAGCCATCTATGCAGATTGAAACATCACATATGAATGACTTCTTTAATACAATATGACTTTATCCTTGAAATATAATGTTTATTGCCTCCAAAAATGTATAAAATGAGTGCTGTATTTTAGGAAAATCAAAACAATCCCATGTAATAATTTTTTAACCAAGCTGGTCCAGGTTGTTGAGATTTAACCGTTGGAATTAGGTGGTTAGTTAGTCTTCGTTTAGCTGCTTTTTTAGTATAAATATCCATTATTTAGGTTGGATGCGTTCATTCCTGATTAAATAAAACTTGGAAAAGAATTACGCATTCAAAATGATAATTAGCCTTGTATACTGCATGTTCCATTAGAAAGTTAAGAATACCAGTTGCAGGTTCAACCTGTGGACTTTCTGCATTGAACGGCGGTAGTCCTACAAGCATCTCAAAAAGAATTACTCCAACAGACCACCAATCCGCAGTTACACCTGCCGGAAACAAGTTGAAAAACAATAAGAACATAATAAGGATTTATTCAGAATAATTCACAATAGTTCTTGTTAGAAGGATACTACGCCTATTGGTTACAGACCATGTCCCATGCCCAGAAGTATCTCTGGGGCCAAATAATCTGGAGTACCAACAACTGAATGCTTTTGTCGGTGTTCTCTTTTTGACAAAGATTGAGATATAGGTCCATTGTCTCCAAGCGGAACAGTTCCATTGATTGATGGACCTGAGAAATCATCTGTACTATTGATAAGACCAATCTTGGAGAGCCCAAAATCTGTCAACTGTAACAAAAAAGATAAGAGGTTTCTAAGAAGTGATGAACAAAAACAGTTGCAACGTCTCTCAAGAAGTCTTAAACGATAAGAGACAATGAACTGATAAAAGAAAGTGATAAAAATGAGAGTATCCTTGACAGGAGAATTCACTCAATGTGTCAAATAAAAACCTATGAAGAATCAAACAGTTTCTTCCTTGACTGCGGAACAAAAAGTTATCACATATATTCCACTTCCACTTATGCTTGAAGATAATTTTTATAGCAGTGATATCCTTACTGAACTAAGTGTACAGTCCTAATATATTTTTTTTCCTTTAAAGTTAATTTTCATCGATAAGAGTCCTGATTTTTCTCATTCCTCGATAATCTACAAAACTAATAGTAACTATACCAAAAAGTTACATACCGTTAATGATCCTTATACTGCAAAACAAAACCAATAATAGAATCCCAGAGATCAAACAAACAAGAAAAAGAAAGAACGGAAGTGTTTTAAAGAAGAAATGAATTAGACATTCTGTTTAATCTTTAAATTTTTTCTACATGGGTGTGATATTTTGCATCTTCAGACAAAGTCTCTCTACAAAGTTTCTCCCAATTGCCTCTAGGCAAATACAAAAGGACAAAACAACACTAATGCTCATACCTGAACTAAAGCAACACTAATGCTCATACATGAATCATTGATTCATGTACCAATATGGGAAATGAACCAAATGAATCCAATAGATTCGTGAATCGAAGTGGGAAATGTACCAAAAATATTCATGAATCCAAGAGATTCATAAACCAAATCTTCGTGACAATTCTCAACAGATGGCTTTATCCCCACATTCATATAAAAAACCTTGAACCTTATTCTTAAGAGATTCCTGGCAGCTTAATTGAAGAATAAATATATTGAGAATTTTTGCTGCAGAAACAAGCAAGATTGCAATTGAAAAACAGATGGTTTCAATTCTCCATGCCAATTTTATTTTAACAAAGTGGTGAAAGGACAGATCTAGTAGAATTCCTCTTCTAAGCAAGGTATCTACTGATATCCTACGGACCAAAGACCCAAGGAAAATGACATTGAAACCTCTTCTTCCAAATGGCTATAATAAGAGAGCTGTTGGGAAGTTTTTCCTTATCCAAATGAAAGGTAAGATGGGCTCCAAAGGAAACTGATAAGAATAAACGGATGGAAGGAAGAAAACAAGATAGAATATTATTGATAACTGACCATTATGAATCACCATGGACATCTGAGATGATCTCACTATCTACATGCACAATCCCCCCCCCCCCCCCCCCCCCCCCCC